TCATTTTTATCAAATCACTAAAACAAAATTATTCGCTAATAAATCTAATTCGTTAGTATTAGCCTATTCATTCTGATACACATAAAATAATAAAAATTTGTTATCATCAATTAAAATACGCTCTCCCAAAAATTAATTGGTGACACTAAAAAACACTGGAATCATTGAAAGTTGATGGATTTGAAGTAGCCATGGCAATATCAGGAGCAGTAGAGGTGGTTGCAAGCTTTTATTTTAGTGAACTACTTCTTCCATGAATATTATTAATTTCTTTCACCAGTGTAAAAAAATTTTAAATATTAATTTACTATATATTACATTAGAAGGTATTGCCTGCCACTCACAAGGTAAGAATTCACTTTCTTGGTCATGCACTTTTCTCCTTTTTTTGTTTGCAATTCACAAATGTGTGAAAATGAATTAGACGATCAAAAGGAATTTCGTACTCGAAGAACCCCTCCATATTTGGGGTCTGGACAATAGAAACGGACCATGTTGTGAAAATGATGTTAAAAAAAAAGATCTGCATTTCAAGTAATTTACTATTGTTTTTAAAACTTTAATGGAGGGTATCTCAAAGTTTTATTATACAAAGTGGGTATGGTTTCTAAGCCAAAAATGTTCTACATGAGGAATTACATATAATAGCGATACTAACTCAAAATTGCTTTTTCACAACATGGTCCGTTTCTAATGTCCACACCCCATTTAACAGTAACATTGAATTTTTTTTAAGCCCTTTCACCTTACGCGTGATTTATTTTTGGGCTGAGACGTGTAGAAAATTGGCATCGCTACATACACACGTCACAACTAATTTTAATCTTGGTCGTTACAGCCAACGGCTCAAGAAATTTGGTTGGCACGGACGGCAAAGCATTAAACTATTGTAAAATCAATCAATTTGGCTCCACAATTATTTATAAACAATCAATTTTTCTATTATTATTTGTTGAAAAGAAAAAAATTTTTTTTTGAAAAGATTGAAAAAAAAAAACTTGAGACTTGTTCGCTTAAAATAAAGAAAAAGCACAACTTTTTTTATTATTTGCGATAGAAAAAAATAAATAAAGGATTTGTCCTAAGCATTATTTTGTTTTTATTTTTTATTTTTGTCAAAGAATTGTCAAAGAATTGCGATGCAGTCACGGATAGTAAAAAAAATAAAAAAAAGAGCACACCATCCATCGAGTAACGAATGACAATATTGATTGTAAAAAAAATACATCAACCTTTTTTTAAAGAAAAAAATAATTTTCATAAGGAAAACATAGATCACTCTTTCACACAAAACCAAAAATAGCAAAATAAAATTCCAGCAAGGAAAAAAAGAAGCGCTACGAGTTTTGTTATGTTTTTTTTTTTTTATGATAAATTTCAGACGTTAAAAACTGTCAAATAAAGCCGCACATGCATGTTTTATAATAAATTAGTCT